GGAGCTCACCCTGTTTAATGCGAAGGCTGGACTCGAACCGCTGAAGCGTCGACCATTTCTGTCCGGCAACTTTCAGCATCATTAAGCCACTGCGCCACCGCTGAAGAATTATTTAAGAAACTACTGCTGAGTAATCGTGCACTGGATAATCGGTATCCAGAATTTTCCAAAAAAATATTGTTCTGTAGTTCCTGGACAAAAGAATGTTTCCCAGTGAGGTGAAAACTGACTGTCTATGCTATTTGGTTGGCAAATATCTGTGCTATTTAGTGGGAGCCAAGAAAACAAACTCATGGATCATGGAACAAATCAACCCAGAGTTCTCACTCGCGGGACAAATGACCAAGCTCAAACTATCCTACTTTGAACCCAGCTCTCTGGAGAAGGCTCTAATGCTGGGAAAGGTGGAAGGAAGAAAAGAAGAGGATGACCAGCAGCAAGGTGGATGGACTCAGTTACAGTGGCGATGGGCGCACCGTTGGAAGACCTGAAGGACCAGGTTAGGGACAGATCATTATGAAGAAAATCCATCTATGTGGTCACTGGGAGTCAAAAACAACTTGATGGCATATAATCAATCAATTTAGTGGGACTTGTAAGAATGTTATGTTAAATCCTCAATCTCATGGATTATATCAAGGACGGTGGGGTTCCCTCACTCCTCTAGTCTTTTTCCCATTGCCTCTCACATCTTTCTCTCCCCCATCCCCCCCATCCCCCCCCCCATTGTAATCTGTTAGCTATTGTTCTCTGGGGACAAGGAACAAGAAGCTCTGTTTGGATCCTTCATTCAGATTCATCATTGTTAAGAAGAAGGAAGAAAACATCATCTGGGTTCATATAAAGTCCAGTCAATAAAACATGGTGATGCACATCCACACCTGCACCCAGTTTTATCCTGAGGCTTCTTTAGCGCTTACCAATTTCTTTTCTATCAGCAGCATTTGCAAGGGGTGCCAGGCAACCAGCCACATAAGGATTGCTTTCCCATAAGGGTTTACAGATTTCTACGGGAAAGATTGACATGCGAGAGGTAAACATCTCCACCTTTTTTGCTCCAGTTTGAGTCATAGACTTTATTATGTCTAACTCAGAGGTAGACTGCCCATTACTCAGTGAGAAGTAATTATTAGATGTTAACTATCCACTATGTCTACTGAATAGGGTGAATTACCCATAAATAATCCAATTCTCATTATACTAGAAGAATTTGCTCTGTAGAAGCAAACCATACTACCATATTGGGAAATCAGAAATAACCCTTTATGGAAAAGTTCTAATCGCTTTGTTTCTAGAATATTAAGGGAACATAGTAATATATTCTCTTCTTCTAAGACAGGAAAGGGCATTATCAGTTTTAGATGGCATATGCACACCATATTTGCAGGTAGGCAAAACTATACCTCAGGGTGCCACTGTTTTTGGTGAAATAAAGTCCTTCCCTGTTTTCTGATAAGATTTCATCCTTGTAAATCCTTATGCATTTTTCTACGTATATATTTTATATCCCATTTTTATGTCCATGGAACACAAAATTGGTTAGCATTAAGTCTACAAAATAAGCCAACAAATATATACCTCAAGGGGAAAAATGGCCCAGTTTTATTAGTAATACTAATTGGAATTTTAAAAAGAATTATATCCTTTATAATTCCACAGGAAAATAGAGAGATTTTTTTAGGCTAATAGGACACAGGCAATATAAAATGCATTATATATGGAAATATTAATTTACTGCTTATGTAAATGTACTTAGCAAAACAGAAACAACCTGTAACTTTTACAAAAGTTAACACAAATGAGTGAGGCTAATCCATCAGTTCTTCTGTTAAAGATACTGTCATCAAATCAGCTTAAATATAGTTCATGGCTGACCATAGAAAGTTGCGAGACACACATTCTGTTACATAAAAATCATTGTATCTTTACCAAAGAAGCATAGTATGAACAGCTGTCAAAGTCACCACACTGGATCTTTTTATAACTTTAAATCTTTTTATGACCTCTCAAGCATCAAACTGCCTAGCCATTCTTCCCTGAGCAACTGAGCACCCACCTGCTAAATAAAATGCAAAATGCAAAGAGATGGTTTTGTAAAGCAGATAACAATGCAATTACAAATGATTCACTTAAAACCAGCTTAAACCAGTTTAATGAAATAGTTCAGGCACTTAAAATCTACTGAAAGTGTTAAGCGGAAGAATGTTCAGTTATATATTCTATCAGCATGCTTTAGTTTTATGTTTATGTCTAATTGTGCTTTTTTATTTTTTAAAGACTTTTTTCAGCACATTGTCCTTTTAACTTAAATATGTGGAACTTACAGATGCCCTTACTTTCATACCCTTTCCACTAGGGACAAGGAGCATGGGGCTTGTATCACAACCAGTGTGCCTGCACACATTTCCCTTGCCAAATGTCAAGCTCCACAGCCCTCCTGATTTTAATTTCAAAATGAAGTGGCAGTTAGGATGCTGGAAACTGAAACATCAGTCTCCAAGATCATCTCTATTTTCAAGAATGCCTTGGAACTCAGAGACATCAGAAAAAATAAAAATGGGACGGGAGAGCTTCAGATAGTTGCTTTTGTTTAAAAGTGGGACTAGCAGCTCAGATCACACACACGCATGTACAAAGACAAAAATAAGTTGGACTAGTAGAGATAATCTTTTTTAATCTTATTATAACTGAGCACAATCACCATAGCAGCCTTTTGTGGTTAGGCAACACCCACTGATAGAAATGATTTTATAACAGCATCCTCCAGTGCTTTGAAAATTCAAAATTTAAGTATCAGCCTCTTCTAATATCTGCTTTATATATTTAAGAATTGCCTAACTGACTGAATACGGTGGTAAAACAAAAGTGGCAATTTTGGGGTTTATTTATTTATTCTATTTATACGCAATCTGGGTGGCTGACATGGGATTAAAAACTTAAATTAGCAAAACATACAAATGAACAATAATTTCTGCCCTTCGTGATCCTTCTAGAAGCAGGTGAAGAACCAGAAATGACAACCTTCTATCAGTGATGTTATGCTAGAATCACATATGAAATCTAGAAGTTTCAGCTGCTGTAATTTCTTATCATCTCAGTTTTGATGGTAGTTAATAAATATGCCCATTGTGAATACTGGCTTGCTGGCAAAGTGCATCATATCAACACGCCACAACCAGGTGTTACTAAGGCCTAACTCTGCAAAACAGTCATTGTATATTCAAAAGGGACGGACTAAGGTTTCATAAAAGAGGTGCATGTATATTCCTCTTGGTCTTCAGTGAGTAAAAAAACACACTATTTTATTACATATAGTGATAAAGAACTCTGAAACAGCTTGGGAGTGTAATAGTCTTCAATCAATTGCTACTCTTCATTGAAGCTCTAAGGCAGTGTTTTTCAACCTTGGCAACTTTAAGAAGTGTGGACTTCAACTCCCAGAATTCCCCGTGCTGGCTGGGATATTCTGGGAGTTGAAGTCCACACATCTTAAAGTTGCCAAGGTTGAGAATCTCTGGGCTAGACTGATCTAGGATTTAAAAACACTGCTAAGGGATTTGCACCTTCAGCAGAAAGGATATGAGGGAAATAATGTGTTTGCAGGTGGGAAGGCCAGAAAAGGAACTGAACTGCAGGCAGCACTTAGTTCCTTCTGGGGCAGAATTAATTATTTAATTAGATTTCTATCTCACCTTCTGTTCTGGAGTTCAAGAGGGGTACATAACATTCCCTTCTTGCTTTTTGCACAACAACCCTGTGACATGGGCCGGGATGAGAGAGATTGCCCAAAGTCATCTACTGCTTCTGCATATACAAACGTGGCCAAAAGTAGTGGTTTGATTGATTGATTATATGCCATCAAATTGTTGTCAACTCTTAGTGCCCACATAGAGAGATTGGTGTTGGAAAAATATTGGTGCCCCTCCCTTTTTTCTCAAAGAATCCCAATTTGTCGTGAAATAAATTGAAACTGACACAAGTAAATGGCATCCACCATTCTTTAGTCCATAATCCATAGAGCAGATGCCTTTGATGTATGACTTAACAAACATCACAAAAGTGGAGGAGTACCAATATTTTTGGCCACATCTGTATATGTTGGAGAGCTCCCCTCATTTTATTTTCATGTTTACAAGGTTTGTTTTCATTTAAACAAATCTGCTTCTTCCTCCCATTATTCCCAATGAAAACAGAATAGGTTGTATTACCTCCATTATCACTGTCTTGTGTTCCTCCCATTCTAGAAGTATGAGAGGGCTTTTCAACAAGAACTGTTAAATAACCTATAGCTTTTTAAGTGTTCTCAAGATCTAATATCAGAAGTGAGTACTGCTGAAAGAAATATACTTAGGTCAAAGACTTGCACAATCAAATGGTCCAAGAGAAGGTTTCTACTCTGTCTGTCCCTAACTCTGCTAATCTGGGAATCCAATTTCTTTTCCTTCATGAAAGAGGTTGATCCTAAACTGTTTGCTTAGGTGCCATTGTTAAGTGTAGCTTAGCCAAATTCTGTGCTGGACTGTGGTCCCTACAAATTATTGTCAAAGAATGTGAACAGTAAATAATTGCTGTCTCCTCCATATCATAGCACATTTATTGCCATACTTCGTAGCGTTTATTAAAGATTATGCTATGCATGCATGAACACACATATCCAGAAATAAGAAGCACTGACTTTATTAATACAGGGTTGGTAACAAAACATTCCGAAAGCCACTGACCCTGAAAAGAATTTCAGAGTAGTCCAGTGAAATGCTACAGTTGAAATTTGAAACTTGTAATGTGGATTAAACAACCAAACTATTGTAAACAGATATGCTAGCCTGTTTGTCCATTCTATTGTAACAGAATAATGGATTTTTAAAAATACCATCTATAGTGCTAAAGACAGCCCTTAAAGCAAACTGCATTAAAGAGAGAGTGGTTTCTTTAAAGTTGTTGATCTTGCTGGATTCCCATCTAAACTATGTGGATCTTACTGGCATCCTTGCACTCCATTCAAGATTCATTTGCTAAATCTGTCAAATTTACAAGTTTACAAATATATATTGGCTTATATTGTGCTATTCAGCATTAGTAATGTAGAGTTAAATAATCATTTGGCTTTTAAGCATGGTCCTATAGACTTATGTTTTAGTTTTTACTTATATACTTTTATTTTCCAAAGTATTTAAACATCTTCATGGAATATATGTCATACTTCTGTGAATGCATTTTGGAAGTTGAGTGACAGTCCCAGATTCAGTTAAGAAAGCACTTTCCTACACGAGATGATAGTACCAACAGGGATAATTATTATATTTCTGTATGTAGCTGAATTATTAACTACAGTTGCTAAAATGGATGGTTTTCTTATCTGAAGACTGTACCACTTGCCATGTTATGTTTGCACTTCATGCTAATCTTTTCAGATTTAAGTTGGCTTTGGCTTAGAAATATAGCATAAAACTAATTTTACCATGATAACAACAGCACTTATACATTGTACAAACAGCACCAGAGAGGCACAAAAATAATTTTAATGTTTTGTGTGCACAAAATCTTGGGCTTCAATTCTGTACACATTTTAGGATGTTCTTCCCTGTAAATTCACATCAGGTTCAGAGTCTTTATTTAATTCCACAGAATAGTTAATTGTATTAAATCAATGTACACAAAACAACTATACATTCATTTGTAAAGCAGGATGATAGCCACCTTATTTATACAAGGCTTTCATAACAGTTTATGAAAAGCATTTTCAAATCTAGGAGGACTTCATGATGAAAATTTCACAATAAAATTTAAGGTCTTATATTGGATGCATTTTAAGGCTGCAACTGTATACAGATTTACTTCAAAAGTTTATAGAATTAACAATATAAAAATAACTCCTTAAGCTGTTACATTTTGATTCCTTCTTGTATAAAAATAAATATCCTAAATAGAATTTTTCTTACTATACTTTTAAATATTTTAAGGACAGAGTATTATAATTGTCACTATATTATCAAGTGCAGGGAATTTATAACTTTGCAATTAGGAGTGTACACATTTTCTAAATAAAAAGATTTAATTAGTCATATAAATAGTACAGTGAAGTAGAGGTATTAGGCTTCCCCTCTTTTGTTTTAAAGTTGGCATGAGCTAGATTTATAATTTCACTATATATTCTGAGTTCTACACATAGTAAATATATAAGCGTATATTTGATAGAGGGCTTTTAATTTTAAAAATAAATTAACCTTTAGTTGGCTATTAAAAGCCATGTGTGTTCCTTTTTCCAATTTATTTAAAAAGGTTAATGGAAAAGAACCAGTCTGGAGTTTTAGACTGTAAACTGTAATATAGTTTTACTACAGTTGCTTTCTTTTCAGCTACAGAAATCAGAGATCAGCTGAAAATTAGACTGGTACAAAATGGGATCTTGTGCAATTATTGCAGAGAAGATTAAACACTTCCAACCCTAGAAACGGCACATCATTAGGGAAGGGGTGCTGCTTTAAATGAATTTGTTAAATCCACTTTAATGGAACAGGATAGGATGCCATGAAATACTAGAAATAGTTTTTGTTCCCATTGCAGGACATTTAAGAGACTTTTGCGAATGGCATGCATGAATAAAATACAGTGTTTTTGTTTCAAGATAAACTATCCTATATATAATGGCATTTTTCAATTCTATCAGTGCTTACTCAGAAGTCTGTCCACTGATTTCAGCAGGATTTATTCTCAAGTATCCAGGATCGTTGCCTTACTCAGCTGATTTTCATAGAAATCTGTATCCAGTTAAGTGAATACAGCCTAAATCAAACCTTACATTTTATTCAGAAAAAAAAAACCCCAAATCAGATAAAATTGAGATGAAACTTCAAAATGTTCACATTTAGTAAAGGTAGATTTTGTAATTGAAAAAATCTGCCTTTTCAAACGCTGGAAAGCATCAATATCAAGTTAAAACATAATCCTATTAATAATCTTTTCTTTTTCCTCCTTGGATTAGGCCTGAAGTGAAACACATTCAAAAATACAAGGCAAAATATTTTTGCGGATCTGTGATCAACACGTTTAGTTAAACACTGATATTACTTGATTTCAGTGAGACAAGTGACCAAAAAACAATTCTGAAACTGGTCTGTGTTTTGATGTGGTTTCATCCTGTTCTTCCTCCAGGGCCTCTGACAAGGAAGAAGAAGAAGATAAAGTTCTACGGGACTTCAACTTCCTCCTAGGGGTTGTGGCTATGTTAAGGAACTTATTGAGAGGGGCAGGTTTCTTTAAGCCTTTTGTCAGCTCATAGAAGGCAGTATCATCAGACAAAAGTCCCAGGACAGTGCTGGTAGAAGTCAAGATAGAAGCAGCCACTTTTATGTTCTTCTTGATGGAAGGGTTTTGTCCAGTGTTGGTGCGAAGACCAGGATCATTTAAGAGATGCCTGACTGCAAAAGAAGAGCCTTCTTTTAAATACTGGAATGGTTTCTTCCCACTATAGTCTCTTAAACCAACCTTGGCATTGTAAACTTTGACCAACTCGGCAATAACTTCTTCTTGCCCATGGATAGCAGCAATATGGAGTGGGGTATAACCTCCGTACGACTTGGCATCCACATCAATGTGAATACCTCCTTTCTCAGTCATTTCTATAACTTTCTTCAGCGTTCTGCAATTTCCACTTTTAGCTGCCCAGTGGAGAACTGTGAAGCCACTCATGAAATCTCTTTTGCTTGCCAGATTCAAGTCAATGAGCAACAAGCCGTGAAGCTGCTGAGACCACTGGCCAGCTGTGGCTTTCACGACCCACTGGTGCTCTGCAGGTTCCAGTGGCACACTGGCTGTGCTGTCAGCTTCCTCACCCACCTTTAGTGGTTTGGCCCCCCTTCTCAGGGAAGGGGATTTCGACCCCATTTCACTTAGCTGCCGCCTCTTGGCGCGAGGGGAGGCAGACAGAAGTATGGCAGAGGCATCCACTTGAAGACCATCTCTGACTCTGGTCTGGTCTTGCTCAGGGCTCAGCTCCTCAGTGCTCCTAACGCTGCTGGAAGGAGGCATGAGGCGGACCGGCAGCATGCAGGGCTTCTCGGGGGCACCCTTGGGGGCCAAATGGTCTTTGCCACTGGGCACTTTGGGCATCTCCAAGCCCCCCTTCTGAAAGAGGTTCTTCAACTGGAACACAGGGATCGTCCCACACACTTCAGGGCCACCCTCTCCAGGCGGGTTAGGAGACGCCATGAAGCCGGCAGGGCAAGCAAGTGCCCAAGAACCTGCGCCTTCTACTTCCTCGTCCTCGCCAGACAGGTCCCCGGAGTCTATCGGTCTCCGTTCCGCATCGGAGGAGTCCAGGGCCAGCTGGTGTTTTTTTTTCAGCACTACCAGCTTGACCCCCTCCAAGTCCTGCACGACGGCCACGCTGTTGACCAACTGGATGAAGCGCTGGCGGAGAGCAGCTCGTTCCTCCGGCTTCGCCGCAGGCACGTCCAACAGCGGTTTGAAGCGGCTGAGCAGCAGCGAATTGCGCACCTTGCCGCCGTGTTCCTGAAGAAAGCCCAGCACGGCAGCTTGGCTCAACGCGGATTCAGCCATGCCCGCTGCGGCCAGATGGGTGAGGCGGACAACGGGCGTGGAGCCGCGGAGAGCGATGGTGACCGCTCCGCGGGCGGCTGCAGCCACCTGCCGCCGCCGCTTCCTCGGCTGAGGAGGAACCTCCCTCCGGAGCCCTCCTTTCCAGCTGGCCAAGAGCGCACGGGGTGGAGTGCGATAGCAAAGCCACCGACCGTGGAGGTGGCTGGGATTTGTAGTCAAGAACACACCTGAGTGCGAACGTGGCGTTTTTCCTGAAACCTGAGGGTAGCTCCCAGGCGCCGCCGCAGGTCGTTTTTCCCCGCCTCGCCTTCCCAGGCAACAGGCGCCTGCCGCCTTCCATCCCACCACGTGCGTCAAACTAAGACAAGATGCGCCCCCTCTCGCTCTGAGGAAAAGCAGCAGCAGCAGCAGCAGCAGCAGCAGCAGGAGCGTTTCTGTGGTCTTGGGGGTTTCTTCTGGAGCCCTCTCGGCATGGCAGCCCCGGCCCCCGGGGTGAACGAGTGCCGGGGCACGCTGGCCGAAGTAGATCAGCCGCTCGGCGTGGCCGAGGCCAGGGCAGCAAAGCGGGCGTGGCAGGGAGCTGTTTTGAAGTACCTTCCCCGGCGCTCTGGGAATATTGCGCTGCGTGGGCTTGGCAATAGGAGCAGTTCTGTCGACGCAGAAATACGCTCAGGAAAACAGTGTTGGTCTGGAGCTCTCCGCAGTGTCGGAGGATACCAGAATCCTAGAGGAAGGGCATACATTATACGTGCGAATATGCTACAGAGACACTCATTCTGTTAGTGCCACACATTTCTTTCCATTTTGCCTCTGTCTGAAGCAAGAATGGGCTTTGGGGAGCCCACCCGGTTCCCTCTCCAACCAACTACTATCTTTAAGAAATGATTATGTAGGAAGGTAGTATGTTCCAAAGCAAAGCACCAGCTCTACTTGGGGCCCACCAAAGTCCACCAGTATGGTAGAGAGTATCTGGAAGAGCTAGGGCACACCTGGGCAGCCATTTTTGGAATAGGAAGAAATCTCCCATGACAGCCATTTGGTGACTGCGCTGTCATATAGTCCTTAATTCCAAATGTGTCCGCTGCTCGACCTCTAAATATTAAATACAAGTCAGCAGATTCAGAGGCCAACCATAACACCTTGTAGCAGCCCAACCTTGGTAGCAAAGTAGGGGCATGCAGAATTTAGGGTGTGAGGCAATTCATGTGGGCATCAATGTTCCCGTCAATAGGCAAGTCTCAAGCCACTGAGGTCTTCAGAGATATGCACATTTTAAAAAAATCTATAAGTTTTATTAATCCATTTTCAAACAAACTTACATGAAATAAAAATGAACAATCACAGCTCTGCACATGCTATTGAATTATATACCAATCTCTTGGAATTTAACATGTTCAAAGCAGAGATATATATTAACAACTCCTTGAAATAGATTCAGAACTCACAATGGCTGCTCGAAGACAGCAGTTGGACTGATTCTTCTTTCCATCTGAACCCATGGAAGGTATTCAAGTCTTAAATCACCACCTGAAGTTGGTAATGGATAAGGAGAAACAAAATTTAATCCAGCTAAAATACTCAAAAAGCAAATACAAAACAAGGGCAAAATTACACTTAAAAAACATGCCCAATAAAATTAAGGCATCTGCCTTTGTTTCTTCTGAATTTATGGAGCCAAATTTTCACTAGCTTCAGTAGGAAGAAAGATGACCACAGCATGAACAAATGTACTTGCCAGATTAACTTCTAAAGGCAAGAGAGCAAAGAACATTTACAGCAAAATTCCCTTGGCTGGTATAGTGTTTGCTTGGTTTATTTCTGTCAGGATTTCCTTAAGTAATTAATTATTTTTGCTCCCAGTTATTATGCCAAAACCACAGCTTTCAAAACAATTGCTGAAGCTTAGAAACTGAAGTTTCTTTTGTCCTCAGGGTGTCTTGTTAATGTGCATCTGCTTAAGCTGTAGTTTTAAGGAGTCTGGATTGCCTAGGCTCCATCCTTTGGGGCCACTGGGCACATCTGGGATTTTGAGAGCATCTTATGGGCACAAAAGAGCTGCCATGGGGAATGTGGCTGGTCACAGATCTCCCACTGAACGAGAAGCAAGCTGGTAAGCTTGCATCCCCACTATATTTTCTAGACTCTCAGTTCATGTTTCTGCAACAGTGGTGGTCTATCGTTCTGGGGAACAGGGCATGCTTTTCATGGTCTAACTTTTATCCTGTACTGCACTTAGTTCTAACTGCAGGTCAGACTTAAAAAATCGCTGCTGCTACTGCTATTAATCTCTAGGCCTCATAGGATCTGCTTCCAGCAGTGCAAATATTCTCAGTTAAGGCAATGAAGGGTACTCGCGCTAGCAATAGGACTGGTAACAGGACTCGTACTTATAAAATACCATTATAAGAAGAGCAGTTACAAGTATACTTAGAACATTCCAGACTCTTTTTCTGTAGGTGGAGAAAAAGGCAGGAGTGGATCCCATAGCTCTGATCAGCCTTCAGTAAGGTTTAGCTCATTAATGGAAGGGCGGGGGCTCTGTTCTGGTCTAAACTGGCTGCAGCCATGGACCCCTGCAGCTGCCGGCAGGCTGTGGGTGGGGCTAGCATTGAAAGCCAACCGAGTCGCTTTGAAATCCCTCTGCAGAACAGATTGGCTGATTGAGGTGGCTTGGTCTACCTCAGCTCTTTGCCAAGGTAGAACAACTTGCCTCTGCTGGCAGTCTGCACATGCCTAATATTGACTTAATTAAACTAAATTAATATTAAATGGTAATTAAATACATTTGAATGTTGCTATGACCCTGCCCATTTTATCTGGAATGTAGCCCTAAGCATGCTACTCAAAAGGCCAACTCCCAGAAACTTCTCTGCCTTACGTATTTGTCTAGAGCAAAACACGTTTACTTACACATTTCCACTCTCACACACTGAGACGCTGTCTTCCTATACCCTTCACGCCATTCAGGTCCATGATCTCTTTTATGTCACTGTTAGACTTTGAGGCATGTTCTATGGCTGTTGTGAAGCCTCACTGCTCTGTGTAGGGTCATTCTCTCTGAGAACAGCATTTGAGAGAGGGGAATGCCTCCAGTATAACAAAACGCAGTCTAAAATACCACGCATTGATGCCAGCGGATGAGTTGTTTTAAAGTGTGATTGGATTGTAGGCTGTGTGCGACTTCTTATTCCCTTTTGCAATTCAAACTTCAATTGGAGAAAAAAAGAAAGAAAAATTGTTTTTTTTTTTTGACCAAACCAATTTGCAATGAGTTCTGTGCTTTCTTAATACCATATAATCCTCCTGTTGTCTTGTAACCTTTTCAAGTTTACAGGCTTATTGTGTAACTATGTAGCCCTGCCTTTCACCTTACTGATGTATTACCCCACCCTTTGCCTTGGATGCTTGTGATGTGTGTGGGAATTTTGTTGAGATGACCTTTTTGCTAGTTACATCTACACATGAAGGCTCGTTCCCAGAGGTACACTTTAGCTAAACATGGAGCTGTTTATGTATTACATTAAGACCTATACTATCAGCCCATCAACCTTCCTGTTCAGTGAAGTAAATATATAGAAATACAATAAAAAAATCTTTCAAACTAGTTAGTAAAATACATAGAAGTCATGCAATTACTATAATTAAAACAACTGCAGGGCTCTTAAGGGAGTATTCCATAAGGGTGTGTCTGAATGTGTTCCTTTTCTCAGTGTAATGGTGGGGCCACTCAGGTTTTCAATGGACTTTTTTCCCCCTTTCAGACAAGACTGCAACGTTTGCTGATGTTTGTGGCATTGTGACAAAAAGTATTCAATAGATTACATACAGTATGTATGTGTCTATATGTTTATATGTATATGCATATGTGTATGTGTGTGTGAATGTATATCTATATCGATATCTAGCTATCTATATAATTTGTCGAGCTACTTTTTGATCAGTATATATGTTCTCTGTTCCAGTAGTAAGGATTAAACAAAGTAAGGGGTGGGAATTTAGTGTCATCCTTTACTGTGGATTTCCAGTGCTAATTTACATACTGGCATTGTAGCACTGTTCCAGTCTTCCACATACACGTGCATTACTGTAAGCAGGAGAGATCTAGATGTGTGCAACATAAAAGGGCATACATTTCAAGATCCACGTACTATAATGGGATGAAATATATTAAATAATGACATTGAATTTATTCCATAGACTTTTACCCTTGACTCTGGGAAGAAGCAAGGCCATGCTTACAATGCAATCTGATGCAAGTTTAATCAGAAGTAAGTTCCCGTTGGGTTCAGAAATACTAAAGCATTCAAAATATGTGTTATTACTAATGCAAATAATACATTCAGGGGATTTTTGTAAAAAGTAAAAGAATACGAATCTCTGTCCCAAAGGGCTTGCAATTTCAGCATCAGAGGAAGGGTAAGTGAAATGGAGGTAGGACTGAATGGGATCAGCATGTATATGTTTCAGTTTATGCTTAATCTTTGTTAAGGTCATATAGATTAAATGACTGTGCCAAAGGCTAATTTAATTTACTTTAACCTAAAAGTTCAGGGTCAGTACGAGAATATTTCTAGCCTGATGTTCTTTCATAACCAGACTTTACTGCAAGTATTTAAAGCATTTTTCCTCTGTTGTAAGGAAAGTGTAGCACTGTGTTGCAATACTGATGGAAGGAGGAATAGCAAAGGCATAATACGAGTTTTTCCGTGCAGCATGAATGTTATTAACAGAAAATTGAAAGTTGTTCTTTGCAAACGGTGGAAAAGCTGATCCTTATTCTTTATTTGGGAGGGTGTTATGGTGCCATTTTTAAACCTTCAGGACAGAGCTGATCTGCTCCTAGAATGCAATCTTGTACTCTATAGGCAATGGAATCATAAAAGTCAGAGCTATCAAATTATTATATTTTTCTTTGAAACAAAGGATATGTTATGTGAAGGCAAACAATTCTTCAATTGTTCAGGGGAGAGATCAGTAAAATTTCCATAGACCAAAATAAATAAATAAATAAAAATCAGATAAGAGCTTGTGGAAGAGACAACATTCACAGATAAAAGGCACCATTTGAGTAGAGATTGATATAAATCAAGAGCCAATTCTACAATGTATTGTGTCATGTAGAACAGTGGACAATATCACACACTGTTTTTCAAGAAGGCAAAGATATCGCTGAATTGGGTTACTGTTGAAGAATAATCTTTTGTCTGAGCCAAGTATTTTATTTAAAGTGGCGTTATAC